AATACGAATAAAAATCCTTATGAGAAGTAATTAAAGGCTAAGCGGCCAAATCAACCAATAAAGTTGCAGATATAGAAATAAAATAAAAACAATTAATACCTGAGTCCGAATCAAAATTGTAATCGAAATCTGAATGAAGTCAAAGCCCAAAAACCGGAATCAAATAGAAGTCGGGATCAAAATCGAATTCAGATCTAGGTCAAAACAAGCCAGAATAATAATCAAAATAATAAAAATAATAATAAAATAATCAAAATAAATCAGATCAACGTCAAAAGTCGAAAGTCCAAATCAAGATCAGCCGCAAATACGCCCCAGTGACGTCATCCCGTATGCAAGCCCCACCAAATACTAGCAAATCAATCACAGAGTTACAGATCCTAAAATATCGTAAAAATAGCACAATCAGGAGTATAAGCTCGCGTATAGGCTGAAGCCAAAGCATATCCGTAACATAAGAGGGCTGAAAATAATGCAAAAGATAGGTACAAAGCAGCAAATACCCAACTCCAAAATTGCCAAATTACAGCATTCTGAAAATCCAAATCTCAAATTTTTACCCCACAATTCAGAACTGTGTACCCTGGGCACCCGAACATAGAAGTTTAGAATCATATAAGAACAGCTCATCTCAGCATACTAGACGTATAACACGATGATATAGTACAATAAACTATAAGCAAATAAAAATAAAAGTAAAACTAAATGTAAATGTAAATGTAAATGTAAATAAGTAAAGCAAATAGCAATCCTCACTCACACATTAAAATATCAATAACAAATAAGTTACTCAATTAAACTGTCATACCACGTCGGCAAAATGCAACCTCAATGAAAGACCACAATGATAACTGTATCAATTGCGATAACATCATAAACTCTACAACCCGTACGTAAATGAACGAATAAACGAAGCGAGAAGGAATTGAGTAAGTAAAAGGCGAAAACCTAACCTAAACCTAACCCTAACCCTAACCTAACCCTAACCCTTTTTTCTTTTTTTTTTCGATTGGAAGAGGAAATGCATTTATGCACGCGCAGGCTGGTTCTCCTTTTCGTCTATTCGGCTAGAGGGGGCCCGGGCAGTGTGGGACTCATATCCACCCTGAGGGGGCAGCCTGGCGCCCGTGAGGTGAGAACAAACCCAAAGAGGCAACCCCAGAAGGGGGCAACCTGACAACCCAACCTTGAAGGTTGAGTTTAGCCCAAATGTAGGTCACAGCCCTGAAGGGGCGACCTGGGTCGACAGCCCAGAAAGGCCACTTCCATGGCTGGATATACTTCCCACTAAAACCTCTCCCCTAACGTGGGCCGCCGGTACCCTTTCACTCGTTAGAATTTATAAGGAATTCCAGCGTATAGCCACAACGGCGCTTTGGCAATTCAACGCGTTTCGCGTTATTCCGTCCTCCCTCAATTTAACATGCGCTAGGCAACCATGATAGATTGAGGATCCACGCCGTTGCACCTCCGATCAAGCGGTAGGACATTTTCAACCTGCACAAAGACGCACAGGATTTTTCTTCGGCCACGACCAGGAACCGGAGGATTCCCACTCAACGGGTGATCGCGCCCCTACTTCACCTGCCTGGCTGCCAGGACAGGACTGCTTCTTCAACAGGGTCAGCAACCGGGACATCGTATCTCCACAGTTGATCGTGTCAATCTACGTCCACCATGGTTGGTTGATAATGATGATGTGGCTTATCCTTGCAGTCATCACGTCCACCTGACCTCCCATGAGAACAGGCCATTTTTCTTCAACCACGACCGGCACCGGAGCTCCTGCTCAACGGGTGATCGGGCCGTGTCTTCACCAGCCTGCCATAAGCGAGGTCAGGGAGCTTTCTCTTCGGCCACGACCAGGAACCGGAGCTCCTGCTCAACGGGTGATCGCGCCATGTGTTCCGCCTGCCATATATGAGCACAGGGCTTCTTCTTCGGCCACGATCAGGAACCGGAGCTCCTGCTCAACGGGTGATCGCGCCGTGACTTCTGCCTGCTTGCAATGCGAAGACAGGGCTTCTTCTTCGGCCACGATCAGGAACCGGAGCTCCAACTCAACGGGTGATCGCGCCCCGTTTCACCCGCCTGTCCTGCAAGGACGGGTCTCATCTTTAACACGACAAGGTCCCGGGGCGAGTTCTTCCCTCAGTTAGCCGTGCTACGTCTTTGAGGCTGCAACCCTCGGTGTCCTGTTCCATACATGCTCCCCACACACACGCACAACACCCCTAACAAACACAGCGCATCAAACACCCAAACAAGCCGAGCAAATAAGAGGAGGCGTGCAGATTACCCATAAAGAAAGTAGGTACGGGTGAACCCGGCATAATACGAGTAACCTGTTCACAAGAAGCGTCCGCAGTAATACCAACCACCAACTGGGCACGCGGCGCCATTACACCGTCATGTCGACCAGAGAAGATAAGAAATATAGATCAACAAGCCGCATAAACAATCCACAAATGACACGAACAAGAGATATATGTAGCCTCCGAATATTAAGTCTATTAAATACATAATAAAAGAGCAGACAGGAATAACAATTGTAAACAATTCTAAACATTTCTAAACATGATTACAGGAAAATTCCCTGAAAAGAAAAAAGAAGGAAAAGAAGAGGAGTGATCCGCTGACAGTTGCCAGGAAAGCAGCCAAAATCAAGTTCGAAACAAACGTTATCACATGCAAATATAGACGACCACGCATCATCGCAAGACATTACATTGTGAGCACCTATGATGGTGCAACAGCTGTGTACTCAACATTAGAGCGATAACAAAATGTAATCTATAATAAGAAAGGTGTAAATTATGTAGATTTGACAGAATACAAGGAGTAGCATGTACAACGGAAAATGAAGCAAAATATAGCTAACATAAACCATCATAACGCCTAAGATTATTATACCGCCAACCCATTAATTTATTAAATACCAGAACAGCAATTTAATCTTAATTTCCAAACAAGCGACACAGCGCAGTGTATCATGTAAATGTTACCAGATCATACAAATTACATCACTATCGTGACCCCATTTGTATATCCATGAAGAACTCTGTACAGAAGTAATAATGATAATAGTGACAACAATATCACGATAAAGAAGTGAAGACAATACTGTATTAATGCGACAACTAGGAATGATTACATCAAACAATCAATTGGAACTTGCATTCCAGTCAAAGTAAACCGCTCCCAGATTCTGTCAAGACTTAATTGAAATCCAACACGCCCTGTAGTTAATAAAATAAAATAAAATAATCACAGTTGATGTTAAAGACCGCTGGCAAAAGTGGCAACGAGCAACTGCAGCAGCGAGAAAAGTAAAATTAGTTAGAGGAGTATAATAGTAAATACTAGAATGCACATGACAAACATCCAAATCAACTCAGCCGCACAAACTGCGTTGAGCTCTGCTGTATTGAGTAATAACTAATATTAGCGATAAGTAACCGATAATCCAGCAAGAGTGTCAAAAGAAAGTAAATAATCCTTTAGAGCGTAAACATCAGTTTCTATCAAAATATGATCACAAGCGTTACTGGGCTTGCTTATGTAACGACCCGTTAAGAAGACTTAGCACCTTTTTCCATTTCGGTTTTATTATTATAATTTATTTTTAGCACAAAATGGTTAATTTAATTTTTATGTTTAAAAGAGTTTATAAAAAAAAAAATAATAATTAGTTTGATTTGTATTATACTTCTTATAATAAATAAATTTCATTTAATCGATAACATAGTCTGATTGAATAAGTCGATAAGCGATAAGTCGATAAGCAATTAGTCGGTAAGTCGGTCGGTAAATAGATTATCGATAAATGATCGACAAACGAATGCATACGCGCCAGCGCAACCCCGATGATCTCGCGGTGGGGTGAAATTCTAGAGTAGGGTGACCGCGTAGACTAAGGAGCAGGGGTGCTCGGCCGTCACGTGATGGGGAATTCCAGAAATTCAAAGGAACCCTATAATAAAAAAAAAACGCTAAGTCAGCAGAATCTGACTATAAATAGAGGCGTTTCACGCAGAGTCAGATGAGATCTTCCCTGGCTTCGGTCAGATGCAGACAATACTCTGGAAGTAGAGGAAAAGCTTGCGCTGAATTGCCTAGGCAACTATAGAGCGCGAGATTAGCTCTATCCTTCTCTTTCAGTAGCGACGTACGAGAGTTCGGATCTGTGGACACCCTACTCATGGTACGCAACGTGTTGAACACGTGCTAATACTAAGCCACACGTTCAAGTGTAAAGAGCTAGCGAGGAGCGGAGCTCCTTGAGCAGGCCTGTATTAGCATAGCTCTGGCTAGACCAGAAACCGATTGCGACCGGTAGGTATAGTCCGCTCGTGTCCAAAGGTATCGTACAAGCTACTAGAATATAGTTTTCCAGTACTTAGTGTAACTTGGCAAATTGTACAGAGTATTGGCTGTATTCGAAGATCAAGTCGCGTTAATCATATATTTTGCACCGTATTTCATTATCTAGGGCGTACCTATTATAATTTCTTATTGTATTTCATTATCTAGGGCATACCTATTGTTATACTTAATATTATACTTACTTAGAGCAATTATAGTTAATTTACTTACTTAAATAAAGGATAATTTTTAGTTTGATACATTAATGTTGGATTTCACTCCTTAACCGCACACCACACGAACCTATAATCCCAATTCTCATTCATACGAGTCGCCTTCTTGGGGAACCGCTCTCCCTATACGTCGGTGCAGTGACGTACCTATCACTGGGTCGTTACACGTAAATAGTTAAGAGATAAAATTTTTGGTGACAGCGGTGGGATTGTTCGAGTGGTAATGAGAAAATCGTATCTCTGCGGACATTAATGGTCAAGCCTAGAATAAAATAAAGACAGATAAATAAAATAAAAAAAAAAAAAAAAAAAAGAAGAAAAAAAAAATTTTATATATATAGCAGGGTAGATATAGAGAGTTATACATATATACATATATTACATTAATAAGCAAACATCAAGATGCCCAACGGAACAGCCGATATACCAGCCGGCACATCAGCCAGCGGATCAACCGAAGGAAGCCGACCGATCAGCATTCGTGATGCAGCGGACATCGTACCAGCATTCAACGGCCGCAATATACCTGTTTATCAATTTGCAAAGAGCTGTTTTAAGGCGAAGAATATAATCTCCCCAAATGCTGAGTACGGATTGGTGCAGCTGATCAAGAACAAATTTTACGGGCAAGCTTCAAGAGTGGTACAAAACGGAGACTACGACACTATTGAAGAATTAATTGCCGTAATAAAGTCTCGTTTCGCCCCGCTGTTCACTTCAATGCAGCTATGTGGCGATATGGCAAGGATGGTACAAGCGCCGACCGAGGCAGTCGTAGACTACGGCAGCCGCGTTTCGGGACTCTTGATACAGATCAAGAGTTGCAACGAGATGGAGTTCCCAGATCAGGTTGAAAGATACAACCAATCCTCGGAAACAAATACCGTCAGAGCATTCCTGACAGGTTTAAAACAAGAGGTATATAGTCGGATGAGAAATCAAAATTTTGACAGTCTTGAAGATGCAATAAGCGCAGCAATCCTAGCAGAAGCTGAGAGCATAGAGAACCTAACGAAGGTTAAATTATCGCAAGGATTCATTACAGCCGAACAATGCAACAATTGTTACGGATATGGGCACAATACCAGTGTATGCTGCAGTCAGAGGTTCCAAAGACAATCCACGTCGAGGGCCCACTGGCCAGCAAAATACTGTCAGCACTGCCAAAGGTCCGGGCACACCTTGGAAACCTGCTGGTTTAAAGACCAGCAAGGAAGACCAGGGGTCCCTCAGGATTTTGCGCAGCCAAATCAAGCCCACAAGAATCAACCTATGCCAAGGCAGAATCGAAATTGGACACAAAATAGAGCGCCAATTTGCGAATTTTGCCAAAACATCGGCCATACGATTCAAGAGTGCCGAAAGAAAGCATATCAGGAGCGTGTCAAAAGTCAAAGACTCCAGCAAACTCCACAAGTACAACAGGTACGTAAGAAAGCGAACTTATACCTGAACTTAGGAGAGATAAATAAGTCTCCCAGTGTCGAACTATCAAGCGAAAATTTCAAAAATCAAAAGGCATTATTCATGGTCGACACAGGGTCAGACATTAATATAATTAAGAAACAAGCAATCTCAAATAAAATAGCTATAAATACAGATATAATTTTTCAATTAAACGGGATAACTAAAAGCTCCATTTACACTACAGGATACATCAAAGTAAAAATACTGGAGACAGAATCCATCTTCCACATTATTGAAGAATTACCAATTGAACAAGACGGAATTTTAGGCACGGAATACTTTAAAAGCAGTGGAGCTAGCATCAATTACGCTAAATCTATATTGATCGTAAACAACAATATAATACCGTTCAAACAACCAGCAGTAGTAATACCATCCAGGACAAAAACCATGATACCCATAAAGGTGTCAAACACAGAAATAAAAACCGGTTTTGTCCCAAAACTGCAGCTTCACCCACAACTATATATGGGGAATGCTGTAGTCACGAACCGGGATGGCATAGCATTTCTATACGCAATCAACGTTGGAGCAGAAGATATAGAAATTGAAATGCCAGCTGTTGAACTGCAACAATATGAAGAAGCACCACAAGATGAAGATGCAGTCCACCAAGAACCTGAGCGAGCCCAAAAGATTCTAAAGATACTACAGACAGACCATCTCAATCAAGAAGAATTTGCCAATGTAGAGGATATAGTAAAAGAGCACGCTGACAGATTTTATATAGATGGAGATAAACTCCCAGCAACAAATAAAATCTACCATAGAATCATCACAACGGATGAGATGCCTGTAAACGTTAAACAATACAGGTATCCTCATGCGTTAAAAGACGAAATCAATCATCAAGTAAATGATCTCCTTGAGAAAGGAATAATCAAACATTCATCGTCACCATTTAACTCCCCCTTGTGGATAGTACCTAAGAAACAGGATTCAAAGGGAAACAAATTGTGGAGATTGGTGATTGATTTCCGAAAGCTAAACGAAAAAACAATCAGCGATGCCTATCCACTACCGAATATTACAGACATCCTGGATCAAGTGGGAAGCGCAAAATACTTCTCCGTGTTTGATTTGAAGTCCAGTTTTCATCAAACACCAATGCATCCAGAAGACAAGCATAAGACGGCATTTTCGACACCATTTGGGCACTTTGAATTCAACAGAATGCCTTTTGGGTTGAAAAATGCTGCAGCTACGTTCCAACGTCTGATGAACAACGTCCTAGACGGACTGCAAGGACTGGAACTATTCGTGTTCATCGATGACATTGTAGTTTATGCAAGTTCGTTACAAGAACACGAAACCAAAGTCAATAGGATGATGGCAAAGCTCAGAGAAGCAAACTTATGCTTGCAACCTGACAAATGCCAATTTCTGAAGAAAGAAGTAGCGTACCTGGGTCACATAATTACAGAAGACGGTGTAAAACCTGACCCAGCAAAGGTTGAAGCAGTCCAGAGGTTCCCCATTCCTAAGACTGTCAAAAACATTAGACAATTTCTGGGATTGTGCGGATACTACAGACGTTTTATTAAAGACTTCTCTAAGATAGCCAAGCCATTATCCGACCTGATGAAGAAAGAACAAAAATTCGAGTGGTCCAGCCAACAGCAGCAAGCCTTCGAATTCTTGAGAAACGTACTATGCGAAGAACCGATCCTGCAATATCCAGACTTTGAGAGACCATTTAATATAACCACTGATGCATCCGGAACAGCGGTAGGAGCAGTCCTAAGTCAAGGAGAGATAGGAAAGGATCAGCCAGTAGCTTACGCCTCAAGAGTAATGAATAAGCCGGAAACGCAATATTCCGCAACAGAGAGAGAATTACTTGCTGTAATATTTGCAGTAAATCACTTCAGACCATATATATTTGGCAGGAAGTTTTATCTAATTACAGATCACAAACCATTGATCTGGCTAAATAGTCTCACAGATCCTACATCGAGACTCATGCGATGGAAATTGAGATTGAGCGAGTACGATTATGAAATAAAGTACAAACCAGGCAAACAAAATATAAACGCTGACGCTCTTTCGAGAAATCCAATCGAAGATATAAACGCCCTGCAAATACATGCTAAGAGGCTGCATTCGTCTACGTCTGGGTCAAAAAAGAAGCGTAAGAAGAAGAAAGAGTGGCACCAATATCCCACTCGCCCCAGACAAACGACGACCACTTCAGAATCGGGCAAACACAAGAAAAGGAAAGAGTGGCACCAATATCCCACTCGCCCAAGACAAACAACAACCACGTCAGAATCAAGAGAATTCAAAAAGAAAAAGGAATCACACCAGTATCCTACCAGACTCAGACCAACAACTACGACTGAGTCTGAAGAACACAAAAAGAAGAAAGAATGGCATCAATATCCTAGAAGACCAAGGCCAACAACTTCATCTAGTTCACGGGATATTAAGAAAAGGAAAATAAGCCATAAACATTTAACACGACCACGAGACGATTCCTCAGAATTCGAAACAAGAAAAAAATATCGGAAAGACAGGATACGAGAAAGAAGTTTTTCTCAAGAGGACAACGCAGCAAAGAAAAGAGTAATAGAGGATTATACAAGCTCAGATGGATCTCAATATTATGAGACAGATGTATCTGAAGAGCCACCAAAACCAAGAAAAAGAACAAATTTAAATCCAAAAATATATTCCTCTGAAGAGATCAGAAAGAAAAGAAGACCTAATGAACAGCAAGTCATTGTAGAAGTACATCAACCACCACAGGATCGAAAATATATCATTCCACAGAAAAGACCTATAAATAAGGAACCAGTAATAATTGGAGATGAAATAGAAGAATACAACGAAGAAACAATTATACCGAAACACATTTTCAGAGAACCACCTAAAATCGATTCTTCTTCAAGCACAAGAGGAAGATCTCCAGTACTAAAAAGAAAAATAGATAAAGAGACTTCAAGCGATACTCTATCAGCTCCGATTACACCCATCAAAATTAAAAAAGAAAAAAATCAACCACCAAAAATTAAACAAATAAAACCCAAAATAATCAGCAATAAACCAATTATATTAAAAATAGAAGAAACCGAAGACCATCTATGGATGAAAAAAGGCACAGCAATAATATTTCTTAACAAAGAAGGACAACCAGAAGATATACAATCAAGACAATTTATGGAAAATGAAAAGATTAAAATTTCTAAACCACAAAGTAACATCATGCAATATAAAATCAAAAATAGATTAATTTTTGGAATAATAGTAGAATCTAGAGAAACATTACCACAGAAAATTAAAATTCTTCATCAAATATTACTCCAAAAAGGAATCCAGGAGTGCAGCATGCCAAATAGACAGGGTTTAAAAGCAATTCTCCAGATAGTCTTTGCAGACTCTAATATCAACATCACTATCTGCAAAGGAACGGTCCAAATTCCACCTAAAGAGGAAAGGAAAAATATAATTAGGGAAAATCATGAAAGCCCAGTCGCAGGACATAAAGGTATCAGGAAAACTTACCTTAGAATCAGGAACAAGTATTATTGGAAAAACATGAAAAAAGAAATTACCGATTACGTTAGATCCTGTATAAGCTGCCAGCGAACCAAGCTAGTAAGGATGAAGAATAAGGAGCCAATGGTTATCACAGACACTCCTTCAGACGCATTCGATAAGGTGTCCCTAGACATTCTTGGACCCTTGCCAATGACACATAAAGGATACAGTTACATCCTCACTATACAGGATAATTTAACCAAATACTCCGTCGCAGTTCCACTTGTATCAGCCACATCCGAGGACGTCGCAAGAGCATTCACTAATTCATTCATATGCCAGTTCGGTAGTCCTAAAGCTATCCTCACTGATCAAGGAACATGCTTCACATCCTCGCTAATCAAAAAGCTAGCCAAAATCTTCCATATCAAGACGTACCGTACATCATCCTTCCATCCTCAGTCAAACGGGTCCCTGGAAAGAAGCCATCACGTTCTGGTTGAATATTTAAAACACTACATATCTAAACAAGAACATTGGGACGAATGGCTACAGCAAGCAATGTTCTCATACAACACAAGTGTTCACGAGGGAACAAAATTCACACCTCATGAACTGGTTTATGGAAAAAAGGCAAGATTGCCATCAAAATTTATACCATCTGACAGATTAGATACATACCCTGACTACGTAGATAAACTATTACAAAACTTACATGAAATTAGACAAACCGCAAAAATTAATCTAGAACAATCAAAATATAGACAAAAATACTATTACGATAGAAAAATACGTCCAATTAATTATGAAACAGGAGAAGAAGTAATGCTCTTAAATCCACCAAGAAGAAGTAAATTACAAAAAGAATACACTGGGCCATACACTGTTTTAAGAAACATAGAAAAAAATAACATAGAATTGCAGATAGGTCCCAAAAAGACTAGGATAGTACACAAAGATCGACTAAAGAGGGCCTATCGACCAATCTACAGCGCGGATCAAAAATAAAAGTCGATACGACAATCTATATAATTTTCGGAACATACGCATGCGCAGATACAGAATTTTAAACCTACCGCCATATTGCGCATAGAACGCTAGAAGCAAGGTACGCGGAAAGGACGCCACGTAATAAAATATAAAAAAAAAAAAAAAAGATAGAAAGAAAGAAGAAGAAAGAAAAATTAATAAAAGAAGAGTAAGCATAGACAATGAGATTTACAATTTTAATATTTTATAGTACAGCAATAATTCTCATTTACAGAACAATGGTCCAACAGACAGCAAATGTAATAGACGCCTTGTGCGTAAAGGATCAGACGATAGCATTTGAATATGTTTTTGATCTGAAGATGGGACGAATATGTACAACTTGTGCACTACATGTGCACCCCGTTAATAAAAAACACTGGGTCCATATCGGTACACATCATTTTATACAAAGAAATGAGGGACTCGCACAAACAACCTGCGTTAGGTGCGGATTCCAATTTGCCGAGACTCGACCAGTTATGGCCTGTGCAACATGTTTGCAGGCTATGAACACTATTGACCCGGAAACCCTTGAAATTTTCAATGAGGGATATCTGGTACCTGCGGGAGACCAGGAAACATTTTATTTAAGTACTCTAGCCAATTATCCCTAATCAGTTCATTTTCCTTTTTTTTTCTTTTCTTTAATTAATTTAATCCATGTATTATTCCATAATTTTTCATAAATAAATCCTTTTTGTTAAACCTTATGAGCATATCTTATTCCGTAATCCTAAACCATTTTCATTTCCTTCGATTTATTAATGCGCAGAATCGCAAGTCCGCCATATTAGCATAAAAAAAAAGATAGAAAGAGATAGAAACAAAGAGCGACAAAGAAAGCTATACAAGGCGACGCTACGCACGCACCGCTACATTCAATTTATAAAGAGCGAAAATGGTGCGACGCGCAGGACGACGCGAACGTTTAAAAAGATTAAGAAGAGCATTAAAACAGTTCAGAGAGGTAGAATTATACTTTTAATAATTTATTTCATTTATTAATTATTTGTTTTCTACAAAATTTTCAAAGATGCCAGTACAAGAAAAAATAAAATCACCGCAACCACCACCACCACTACGATGGAGGTTAGTCGTGATCGACATACCAGAATTCGACTGGCAAGCATACAGACGGTTACAAAAAGAGGACCCTAGAAGGAAACATGGAAAAGTTATTCGCTACTTTGGAGTCCTATCAGCATCCCCAAGAAACAGCAAAGAAAAATGCCGCTGCGCCCTTTGCCATCTCAGAAGATGCAATCACAGTCTCTTGAGGACAAGAGACAAACGCACGGGGGAAGCTGTAACGACCCGTTAAGAAGACTTAGCACCTTTTTCCATTTCGTTTTTATTATTATAATTTATTTTTAGCACAAAATGGTTAATTTAATTTTTATGTTTAAAAGAGTTTATAAAAAAAAAAATAATAATTAGTTTGATTTGTATTATACTTCTTATAATAAATAAATTTCATTTAATCGATAACATAGTCTGATTGAATAAGTCGATAAGCGATAAGTCGATAAGCAATTAGTCGGTAAGTCGGTCGGTAAATAGATTATCGATAAATGATCGACAAACGAATGCATACGCGCCAGCGCAACCCCGATGATCTCGCGGTGGGGTGAAATTCTAGAGTAGGGTGACCGCGTAGACTAAGGAGCAGGGGTGCTCGGCCGTCACGTGATGGGGAATTCCAGAAATTCAAAGGAACCCTATAATAAAAAAAAAACGCTAAGTCAGCAGAATCTGACTATAAATAGAGGCGTTTCACGCAGAGTCAGATGAGATCTTCCCTGGCTTCGGTCAGATGCAGACAATACTCTGGAAGTAGAGGAAAAGCTTGCGCTGAATTGCCTAGGCAACTATAGAGCGCGAGATTAGCTCTATCCTTCTCTTTCAGTAGCGACGTACGAGAGTTCGGATCTGTGGACACCCTACTCATGGTACGCAACGTGTTGAACACGTGCTAATACTAAGCCACACGTTCAAGTGTAAAGAGCTAGCGAGGAGCGGAGCTCCTTGAGCAGGCCTGTATTAGCATAGCTCTGGCTAGACCAGAAACCGATTGCGACCTGTAGGTATAGTCCGCTCGTGTCCGAAGGTATCATACAAGCTACTAGAATATAGTTTTCCAGTACTTAGTGTAACTTGGCAAATTGTACAGAGTATTGGCTGTATTCGAAGATCAAGTCGCGTTAATCATATATTTTGCACTGTATTTCATTATCTAGGGCGTACCTATTATAATTTCTTATTGTATTTCATTATCTAGGGCGTACCTATTGTTATACTTAATATTATACTTACTTAGAGCAATTATAGTTAATTTACTTACTTAAATAAAGGATAATTTTTAGTTTGATACATTAATGTTGGATTTCACTCCTTAACCGCACACCACACGAACCTATAATCCCAATTCTCATTCATACGAGTCGCCTTCTTGGGGAACCGCTCTCCCTATACGTCGGTGCAGTGACGTACCTATCACTGGGTCGTTACACTTACTTTAATCCACTAAACTATGTCCGCACAACATTGTGCAAAATGAATAAAGCAAATGCAAGTTTATACATGTAGTATGTATAAGATTAAACACAACATAACAATGACACATAAGTCATCTGGTAACACAATACAGCAGAAAGCGCCGCAGCTCACACACACCAGGTATTAATAAATAAAGTATATAACAATTTAATAGTTTAATAGTACAACAGCCAATTTAATTCAGAGCAATTACATTTCATGCACAATCAAGCACCTGACAGATGCCAGAGCAGAAGTAAAGAAGCATACATAACCGATGAGCATAGCAATGAAGATAGACAAAGTGTAACAAATAATAACCGTAGACTATATAAATCCGCCGATCAAAATTAACTTCCAAATAATTTCGTAGCGAAATAGGAAATAAGCAATGAATATCGGGGACACCCAGTTGCTCAGAAAGACTAGATACCTAAAAATACTGATATATTTTGATAACAGGGTTGCGAAGAAGAAAACATGTACCGGCGCGACACGTAACGGATAAATCACACAACGTTCATCGAACCATTGATAATAACCGGGAAATTATTCAAAATACAAAATTAAGTCTCGAATTAAAGCGTTAATTTATGCAAATATAGGAGGCCACGCATCAGCGAATATTACTATTGTACTAATTTACCATGGAACAATCATTTGTACCCTCAAAGATTAAGATCAAAGCAACAAAATATGATCTACAGTAAGAAGAGAGCGCATATTTGACAGAATACAAGGAGTAGCATGTACAACCGAGATTGAACAGATATAGCTTGCATAAACTATCATAACACCCTAAATTATTGTATCGCCACCCCAGTATTAATATATTTGAATATTAAGATAATGATTAAATCTTTAATTACCAAACAAGTAACACACCGCAGCGCATCATGTGACTGCTACTGAATGATACAAAACACAGCATCATCGCGACCCCATTTACATGTCCCTGAAGGAACTTAATATTGAAAGTTCAAAATAATAATAAAAAATAAAAGATTACAGTGACCACAATATCCAAAACAGAAAAGAAAGACC